GAACTCACAGAGATCCGCCTGGCTCTGCCTCCCGAGTGCTGGGATTAAAGGCGTGTACCACCACTGCCCGGCCCTCTTCCCCCACTTCTAAGCACGAAGGCCTCCCTGAAGATTCTCACCCTCGCCTCTCAGCACTGACTGTAGCCACGCCTTGCTCTCACTGAGACCTCAGCCTGCTTTCCCTGTCAGCCTCCCTCCCCCCCCTCCTCCTGAGACACTCTGATGCCAGATAGACATACCAACAGGTCCACCAGCATCAGGACATGTGAAAAAAAATCTTCATTTCCACCATTCCTGTCAGTTTCTCTCATCCATTTGCCAGTTTCAGAGGACAAACATCTGAGCCGGGTTGCTGTCTTCTTCAGTCCAGGCTTGGTCCAAGGTCCAACAGTACCCTCTGCTGGCTCGCCTCAGAATTTCATTCTCACGGGTTAGTTCAGGTTGTCCCTGTGCCCAAATTCCACTTCTCACCCACCTGTTCATTTGTCCTCCCCAGAGCAACATCTAAAATAAGGGTCCTGTGTTATTGAAGGTGCCAGGGCTGGTACCTCCTTACGTAAGCCAGTTTGCCTAACCTGTATGGGAGGCTCGAGGCAGTGGGTAGTGAAATCTACTCTAAAGGACAGTGCCTTACTGCACGGACCGTTGAAGTGTGCTGTGCATGCCATCTGGACCACAAAGCACCATAGGATCTGTTTCACGAAGCTCAGCCCATTCCTCCTCCACTCTGGCCACAATGTCCTTCTGCACTCTTTCTTGAATACAACAAGCCTTTTCTTAAATTAGAAGGAAAAAAAGTTGTTGTTGTTTTACATCTCGACTGCAGTTTCCCCTCCCTCCTCTCCTCCCAGCCCCTCCCCCCACCTCCCCTCTGCCCTACCCCCATCCCCTCTTCCTCCGCTCCTATTCAGAAAAGGGCAAGCTTCCCATCAACCCAAAAATGGCATATCAAGTTGCATTCTGGCTCCTGCAATCCTTCCTCCCCCTCTACTGCAGGGTTCCCGAGCTCCTCCTGTTTGGCAGTGGGTCTCTGCATCTGCCTCCATCCATTTTGGGCAAAGCCTCTCTGATGATAATTGGGCTAGGCAATAATCTATGAGCAGAGCAGAATATCGTTAGGAATCATTCCATTGACTTCGTGTGGGTGCCAGTCCTGTGTGGTTCTATCCTAGGTCTTTGGGATATCCCACCTCTGGGTCCTGCTGCTCCAGACAGACAAAAGCCTTTCTATCCTGGGCTTCTGCTGTCCCTGGGTGTCCCCTCTGTGTGCGGTCTGAAGAGCTTACCTGCATAAGTGTGCTTGTCCACATGCTCACTTGGATGTTTTTCAGGGATCGGGGCATTTAACTTTTCTCCCTCCCTGTAGCCTAGAACAGTATGTGGAGTATAGTAAATATTCAAATCTGTACCAGTGGAAGCAATGACCTAAGGACATGGGCATATCAGGTGACAGAGTCCTGCCTTTGGCTCATCTATCACTCTACAGCAGTGGTTCTCAACCTTCCTAATTTTATACAGTTCCTCATGTAGTAGGGACCCCTCCACCATAAAATTATTTTCGTTGCCACTTCATAACTGTAATTTTGCTACTGTTATGAATCCTAATGTAAATATCTGATAGGCAGGATGGTCTTACTTAGGTGACCCCTCTGAAAGGATCATTTGACCCAAATAGGTCACAACCCATGGGTTGAGAACCACCGCTCTACAGTAATCTACCTATGATTACGCCAGTTTACCTACGCCTCCTTTGAGGACATTTGGCTTTCCCATTTGTTCACTCCTATAAACAAATTAGACCACACAACCTGGGAGCCTCGTGTCCACATTCACATGTAAGAAATTGGTAAGACCGGGTTCTGGAATCAAGATCTATGCGCATTTAAATTCTGGTAGAGAACATCAGATTGCTACCCCCGACAGTACCTTCAACTTCTTGTGATTTTTAGACTACGGGAAATGCATATAGTGACTACATGGAAGGGCATGAGCGGCTCTCAGCAGTGGGGAGTTCCTGCAGAGGACCAGAATTTGGTTCTTAGTTCCCATACTGGGCGGCTCACAACTGCCTGTAATTGTGACTCCAGGGAATCCAACCCCCTCTTCTAGCCTCATGGGCACCTTCACACACACACACACACACACACACACACACACACACACACACGCGCGCGCACACACTTTTTTTTTAAATAAATACATTGAGTTCCACCCCTCTGACTGGGACCTGAGCCTATGAAGCATTCTGGGATCTCACTAACATCTCAGGCGTGAAGGTGGGCCAGAGAAGAGGGAAGAACGCAAGAGAAATGATGTTCCAAGCAGGAAGCCTGGCGCCACTGAGACTTTCCCACCCAGGCCAAGCAGAGTTTAACCATGTGGGTGCAATGATCAAAAAGATAGTGTCGAGGATTCAAAGAGGCCACAGAAAGCATGAGGGGAAGCCAGACAGGCCCCCAGATCGGATGGGCTTTGTCAGTGGGAGGGAAGCAGTGGGGTGGCAGTTACCGGCAGAGTGAGCGAGCCAGGCTCTGCTCAGGCAAAGGGCAGTTTTGGAATTGGAGGTTCCTCCTCCTGAGAATGGAAAGAGCAAAATTGGTTTCTGTCGATGTGCCAGCTGCTCTAAGGATCAGAGGGGCCATAAGTGGAGCCTCGCAGGCTGTGTGTGACGACAAGGAGGGTCGGGGTGTTTGTTACCAGTTAGCCGGAAGGGTCCTTTGTCCTGCCCGATTAGAAATAACGGGCCGGGAAGGAGAAGCCCTCAAGTCTGGTTAAGGTTCCATCCTCTCTGTTTGGGGCAGCTGTACCAGTGATAATAAGGGTGTGGTCGGCAGCACAACAGATGGAGCCCTTCAGTCCGTGCCCTTCAGGTAGCAGGACCTTACTTAGCCTTACAGATGTCACAGCTCTTGTGTGGCCTAGGAAGTTGGGATCCCTCCACCCTCAACTGTGGCTGATGCTGCCTCCTCCAGCAGGCTAAGGTGACAGGAATCCTCAGCCTTGGAAGCAGCCAGCTCTATAGCAGGTGTAGGCCTAGGAAGCTGGTACTCCTTTGCCTTTAACAACAGTCATGATTGTATGTTACTACACACACTCAAGCTCGTGTGCACCATATTTGATCACATACCTTTCCATTTTCACACACCTCTACACACTCATACATATTCTCTCATCACATACATAAGTACTCAGTTCACACTTGCACACTCATAGAAACACACAAAATCATGCACTAACATATACCAACACACTCTTGACGCTTAAATACTCATACATCCACATCCTCACACAGTTGCACACACATAGCAACACAAACTTTTGCACATATTCTCTCACATATTCACTCACATATTTACAATCACAATCCAATACCAACACACACAAGCACACTCACTTCTGTATAGTATTGCAGTTCCAAGCACCTAAACACACTCGTGCACTTGGATCCATTCACATATCCATATTCAATCACACATTCACAAAATCACAGGCCCATACAAAACACTCCAATACCACACACTATTACATACTCAATGCACATTAATGCCCATACACACTCATGCTCACTCACCATCTTATACACTCACACATGATAACACACACATGATAACACTCACACATGATAACACACAGAACCACAAGCTCACAGCACTCTCAAAAACATAATTACATTCACACTTACTAACTCAGATATCTATACGCTCATACTTACCCATGCTGAAACGGTCACGTTAATTCACACAATTATACACACATGTTGTCATGATCTCACACCTTCACACACTTTTAAATACCTTGCACACTCATACAGCTACACATTCACATGTGCTAACACTCAGAGTCAAAAACTTGGACTCCTATTCACACAGATTCACATTCATACACTCTTCCTCCCATTATACACTTTTGCACACTCACCCAAGCATACTCTTGAACATTTTCATACTCATACACACACAGAGAGAAACACACACACATTGGCATTGACTCAGCCACACACAATCTCAATAACAGGCTCATTCGACCTCACAATTCCTCACACAATCATATAATTTTTCACACAGTTGTGCACTCTTGTACATTCACATGCACTTTCATACTTACACTTTTGCACACACACAAGCAAATCTACAAATGCACACTAGTACAAAGTAATACCTGAATGTGACACACACAAACACACTGACTCAATCACACGAGTTCATACATGTCCAGACACTCATGTACACTAGCAAACACTATCTTTAACGCTAACCTAGCTCTAACACTAATACTAGACTAGGCCAAACCCTACAGCTAACTGAAAAGCAATCCCTAACTCTAACTCTAAAGCTAAACCTTATTATATCCCTAGCCATGACAATACCTTAGCTCTAATGAAAACATAAACCAAACAGATACCGAACTCTAACCCTAAATCTTTTTCCCCAGATCCAACCATAATCATAATGCTAACTTTAACTCTAACTCCTTAAACCTAACTCCATTTCTAACCATAATACTAATACTAGCACAAACACCTGCTAAACTAATCCCAAGCCTCCTCCTAACTCTAACCCTAAACCTAAAACTAGCTTGATGCTAAACTAGCCCTAACTTAATTCCTCGCCCTGGCCCTGGTCCTCACCCTGACCCTGACACTGCTGAGGCCCTAACACTAAACCTATGCCTAGTACTGAACATTCTCCTAGCCTAACCTGTCCTATCCTAACGCTTACCACAGTCCTAACCCTTACCATGTTAACCTAAATCATAACCCTCTCTCTAACCCTCGCCCAAACAGTAGACTAGCCTGAACCCAAACCCAAACCCAGATTTCATGTGTAGGTGGTAATCAATATGAAGTTAAAAGAATTTTTTAAGTTTTATTTATTTATTATGTATAATGTATACAGTGTTCTGCCTGCCCGCCAGAAGAGGGCACCAGATCTCATTATAGATGGTTGTGAGCCACCAGGTGGTTGCTGGGAATTGAACTCAGGACCTCTGGAAGAGCAGTCAGTGTTCTTAACTGCTGAGCCATCTCTCCAGCCTTGAAGTTAAAAGATTTTGAGACCAAGGCCCCATGCTCATTGTGAGACAGGGCCAAGAAGCTCAGTGCTCACACATACAGGAAGCAGGAGGGCGGTGTGCTCCCCTGGCAAAACGGAAATGTTTGCTCCTGGGGTTTAAGATGGGACATAGAACCAAATGCATGCTAGATAATAAACACTGCCCATGAACTGTACCCCAGAGCCTTTGTGAGCTCTTTCTAATGAGCCATCAATCTTAGGGGAGGATGTTTAATATTCCAGTTTTCAAAACACACATGTAGATGAGGAGGGGCAAAGGGGCTTTGGTTAGCCCTTTTATATTTGTGGTGCTGAGAACGGAATTCAAGACCACATGAACTGGCCCCATACCTACTATGTTACACCCCAGTACTAGAGTATCA